CTAATATTCTAGAAAATGACAGCACTGTTATTACGGTGCTTACTTTGTGCCAGGCACTATTGCATATGTGTTACATATTTTAGCTTGTTTAACCATCAAGGCAACCACATGGAATGGAATATTATTACTAGTCACACTTTATAGCTGAGAAAACTGAGGCCCAGAGAAGTTAAAGGACTCACCTAAGGTCACACAGCTTGAAGGGGCGGAGCTGAGGCAGCCCAGCTCCAGACTCTGAGTGTTTGACCATTACATTATACAGCTCTGATTCAGAGCTTATTCAAGAATTTTCAAACGCGCCCTGACCGGTTTGGCTCAGTGGATAGAGCGTCGGCCTGCGGACTGAGGGGTCCCAGGTTTGATTCCGGTCAAGGGCATGTACCTTGGTTGCAGGCACATCCCCAGTAGGATGTGTGCAGGAGGCAGCTGATCAATGTTTCTAACTCTCTATCCCTCTCCCTTCCTCTCTGTAAAAAATCAATAAAACATATTAAAATAAAAATATTTATTAAAAAAAAAGAATTTTCAAACGCAATTTATAAATCTTTGTATTAAAGCAAGATAGCCTTATTTGCATATGTCATAATGACATATATAGCACAAAAAGCAATAAAGCAAAGTTCAGGCCATTCTGGGGCAGATAATTGGCAGAATAATAATGATCTAAAACCCTAACTCAGTGGTTCTCAACCTTCTGGCCCTTTAAATACAGTTCTTCATGTTGTGACCCAACCATAAAATTATTTTCGTTGCTACTTCATAACTGTAATGTGGCTACTGTTATGAATCGTAATGTAAATATCTGATATGCAGGATGGTCTTAGGCGACCCCTGTGAAAGGGTCGTTCGACCGCCAAAGGGGTCGCGACCCACAGGTTGAGAACCGCTGCTCTAACTAGTAAGTATTCTTGTGGAAAAGTGGAGGATGGAGGAAAGTTGAGGATGGAGGATGTGGGGTTAAAGTAAAATGTCCCTCCCTTTAATGTTATCCCTTTATGTGATACAATGAAATGCACAGAATGAATTTATCACAAGGAGCAACTTGCGCTGGGAGCTCTCTGGGGGAGAGACGGCGAATGCCCGGGGTTACTACAAGGAGCTGACCAAGCGTTCCCTTCCTGTCTTTCCAGACCCTGTGCCTGACCTGCGTCATCTCAGGAGACCCCGCCCCTGAAATTTCTTGGCTGAAAAATGACCAGCCTGTCACCTTCCTTGACCGCTACCACATGGAGGTTAGGGGGACAGAGGTCACCATCACCATCGAGAGGGTCAACAGTGAGGACAGCGGGCGCTACGGCGTCTTTGTCAAGAACAAGTATGGCTCCGAGACAGGCCAGGTCACCATCAGCGTGTTCAAGCACGGGGAGGAGCTCAAGGTGCTGGAGAAGAAGTGATCAGACACAGCCAGGAGAGGAGGGTGGGGTGGGTGGATACACCGCAGTGGAGCAACAAAGACCAGGGTGGGGTCCCCTCCAGGAGAGTAGGATCATCCCTGGACTTGGAATAAGATACCTCTGAGCAAGACCCCATTTCAGCTCTACAGTCTCCATCAGCCTTGCCTTTCTCATCAATCAAACAGGAATTCCTACTCCTAGGGATTGTTTATGAAAACCCTTTTATAAACCGTACTAGAGGCCCAGTGCACAAATTCGTGCACATTGAAAGGAAATTAATTAGAAGAAATATTTTAGAGGCCGGAGAGGGACTGCGGGAGATTGGCTCCTGGGCATGTCTGGCCCATCTCGCCCAGTCCCAATCGGCCGGACCCCAGCAGCAAGCTAACCTACGGGTCGGAGTGTCTGACCCCTGGTGGTCAGTACATGTTATAGTGACTGGAAGAGCGGTCGACCGTTCAGTCGGACACTTAGCATATTAGGCTTTTATATATATAGATACCAGTGGTCCTCCACTAAAGACAATGTCCAAGTTTTTGGTTGTCACAACTGGAGGTGTCTATTGGCAGAAGTGTCTATTGGTAAAGGTCAGGGTGCTGCTAAGCACCATAGCTCCGCACCACATGGAACTATTCAACCCCAAATGTCAATGGTGCCAAGGTTGGCTAGCCCTGCCATAAAGTGATATATCACAATATCCTCTTCTAGGATACTATATTCTCCATTCACATAAGTTCAACAAACATTCATTTGAAGTCTAGCATGTGCCAGGCTGAGGATGGCGTTGGGAGCACAAAGACAAATACTATTCAGGCCCTGTTGCCCAGGAGGCTTCAGCCCACTGGGAGAGTCAGACCCAGGTACAAATGACACCAGGACAAGGCAGATGATAAGATTATAAAACAAATGCAAATAAAGTGCCACTCATGGTCAAAGGAGAGAGACAGAGGTCCATCCCAATTGGAGAAGGGGGGCTTTCAGACATCTTCATGGAATCAGCAGAATTGTGTTGGACCCTGAAAAATGAGTCCAATTTGGTGGTGGTGATGTGAGGAGGACATTTCAGGAGTGGGGCATGGTGGGAGCAAAGGCGAGGAGGTGGGTGATGCTGCCTGGATGGCATTGGATGCCAGGCTGGTGAGCTGGATGACCTTCAGGACGTCTTCAAGCGCAGGGCCTCTACCTGCTATGACAGATACCAGTTGGCCTTGCTTGATGGACCTCAAGTCAGAGCTGGGCATTTCACCACTCTCCAATTTCCTTATTTTTTCCATTGATTTTTAGAGAGAGTGAAGGGAGGAGGGGAGACAGAGAGAAACATCAATGTGAGAGAGACACATCACATTGATTGGTTGCCTTATGCACATGCCCTGACCAGGGTTGAGGATGGCTTCTGCAACCGAGGTACGTGCTCTGGGCCGCAATCGAACCTGTGACTCTTCAGCCCATGGGCCGATGCTCTATCCACTGAGAAAAACTGGCTAGGACTTCTTTTTTAAAATAAGATTTGGATTGGGTGGGGTTTATAAGGTTATAGATGTTTGTTGTAAAAATTTAGAAAACCATCCTATAATAATAAAAGCCTAATATGCTAAGTGTCTGTTCAACCAATCAAGGAGTAATAAGCTAATGATATGCTAAGGCCACTCAACTGCTTGCTATGACATGCACTGACCACCAGGGGGCAGACGCTCGACACAGGAGCTGCCCCCAGGTGGTCAGTGTGCTCTCACAGAGGGAGCGCTGCTCAGCCAGAAGCCCTGAGCCAGGTTCACGGCTGGCGAGCACAGCAGCAGTGGCAGGAGCCTCTCCTGCCTCTGTGGCAGCGATAAGGATGTCCAACTGACAGCCTAAGCCGTCAGTCAGACATCCCCCGAGGGCTCCCAGACTGCAAGAGGGTGCAGGCCAGGCTGAGGGAACCCCCCCCCCAAGTGCACAAATTTCATGCACTGGGCCTCTAGTGGAAATTATAAAAAAGAAAATAAAAATCACCTATAATTCCAACACCAGAAGATAACTCACCTCTGTTCTCTGAAATGACTTCTGAACTTAAGGATAAAATGAATCATTCCTATATCTACCACCTGCACATGCATCAGGAATGGTGGGTAACATATCCCCCAGCCCAAGTTCTGGGCTCGTGGTTCAGTCATGCCAGGTGTTCAGGGGAGGGGGGTGGCAGGAGGACTTGAACGTGCCCTGGCCAGGAATGAGTATGGGGAATTGTGCAGGTCTTGGAGGCAAACACATTTTGGGCAATTCTTTTCCTTTCTCTGGGCCTTGATTTCCCACCTTTAAAAAAAAAAAAAAAGAAGGCTGCCCTGGCCAGTTTGCTAAGTGGTTAGAGCATCAGCCCGCAGACTGAAGGGTCTCAGGTTTAATTCCCAGTCAAGGGCATGTACCTCAGTCACAGGTTTGATCCCCCTCCCTGATTGGGGGCAGGGTCGGGAGGCAACCAATCCATGTGTCTCATATCAATGTTTCTCTTGCTCTCTCTCCCCCAAATCAATGGAAAAAATATCATCGGATGAGAATTTAAAAGAAAAAGAGGAAGACTGAAAGATGGTTTTTGAGGGCCCTTTCAGTTGACACTGATATTACTTCCCAAAACTCAATCCTCCTCTGCTTTTCTGGTCTCATGATGATCTGATGAAGAAAAAGGCTCATCCTCACCCTCCCTCCCACTCTCGTACTTGGCATCTCAGAGGAGAGAATTGGCTTCTTACACGTGTCAATGAAAAAATGTCACCAATTTCAAAGAAATCACAGTATCCATGCACCCTATCCCTAGCAGCAGTCCGGATATGCGTCCATATGTACTTCATCTTCACACAAAGCACCCTCCCTCTCCTTCACGTGATCTTCACCGAACACAGGGAGGTAGGCAGAGGTCTTGATGACGACAATAAATCACAGAGGCACAACACTTAAGCCAGTGGTTCTCAACCTGTGGGTGGCGACCCCTTTGGGGGTCGAACGACCCTTTCACAGGGGTTGCCTAAGACCATCTGAAAACACATATATAATTACATATTGTTTTTGTGATTAATCACTATGCTTTAATTATGTTCAATTTGTAACAATGAAATTGGGGGTCACCACAACATGAGGAACTGTATTTAAGGCTCGCGGCATTATGTAGTTTGAGAACCACTGAGGTTTTATAGCATTCTCATACCGGAGAGATCGAGAGCTCTGTGGGACGGCATCAGGGGCCCCCTTTTTACTTGATGGCAGTTGAGAACCTAAATGGTAAGTGGCAGGGTCAGGTCAAGGACAAGAACAAGGGTCCCTGGATCCTGGTTCAGAGGATATTCTGCTCTATCACGCTTGCCCCTGAGCGGAGCAGACCGGTATATGGAGCCCAGAGGTGAAGCAATTATAGTTCTTAATAAACACGTGAGAATTGCCAAAGTAATGAAGGAGCAAATCAGTGAGCAGATGTGTAAATGGAAGTCGCCATTGTCCAGAAGGATAACATTTTCTCCATGGAAGGAGGGGGGCTGGGTGGGGAGGGTGGTCCACAGCAATTTGTCGTGAGTTGTTCTCTGAGTAACATTTATCCCTCCTGTTGGCCCTGATGGAACATGGTGTGAGCGCCCCCTATTGGTGGGGAGCGGGATTGCATGCTAAGAAGAAGCTCAGAAGCAGTGCATCCTGGGGCTGTGAACTGCGGTTTGGTAACAAGTAGTTGGGGAACTAGAGCTGAGCCCTGTTGTGCTGTATATGGACAGTTTGTCTTTGTCCAATCTCCCTGGATAGAGTCCTCAGGGCAGCATCTTTGAGCAGGCTTCCTGAAGACTGGGATCCCCATCACCTTGTGTGCTCTGCTCTTTTTCCCTGCTTCCATCTCACGGAGCCCAGGCGCAGCTGGTTTCTCCATTGGCGTCCCACCCAGGAAGACTGTGGACAGGGCAGGTCCCAAGAGTGGGGCCATGGGGATGGAAGTAGACCTTTCATTGTTCTCTCTCAGTTCGTCCCACTTAATCCCAATGAAACCTCAGTCCACTCAGATGGGAGAAAGTGGGACGAACCTTGCTAACGGATATTGTGATATAATAAAACTAGAGGCCTGGTGCACAATATTCGTACACTGGAGGGGGGGTGTCCCTCAGCCAGGCCTGTACCCTCTCACAGTCTGGGAGTGGGCCTAAGCCGTCAGTTGGACATCCTTAGCACTGCCGCAGAGGCAGGAGAGGCTCCCGCTACCACCACTGTGCTAACCAGCTGTGAGCCCAGCTTCTGGCTGAGTGGCGCTCCCCTTGTGGGAGTGCTCTGACCACCAGGGGGCAGCTCCTGCATTGAGCGTCAATGGAATAAACCAGTCAATGGAATTAAAATGTTTCCCTGAGTTTTGTGAGCTATTCTAGCAAATTATCGAGTCTGAGGAGGAAGTCATGGGAACCCTCAATCTATAGTTGGTTGGTCAGAAGTACAGGGGGCAAGCTGGGACTTGCGACTGGTGTCTGAAGTGAGGGCAATCTTGTGGGGGCTGAGCCCTTAAACCTGGGGAATCGGGACACTTAACTCTGGGTAGTTAGTGTCAGAATTAAATTACATAGTAGGGCACCCAATTAACATCTGGGGATTTGGAGAACTGGTTGTTGGTGTGGGAAAACCCACACATTTGATGTCAGAAGTGCTGTGAACCAACACAGGTTCAGAGTTGTCACTCAACCACCTCCCCGTGGGGTCTCTTCCATCTCATCTGCTCTATCCCCTGAGCCCAGGGTAGGTGGCGATGGCACGCCATTATCACCCAATGAAGCCAGACTCCGCAGCTTCACCTCATTCACACTCCACAGCTTGAACTGCCACCCTTCACATTATTCTCCTCTTCCCAACCCGTTCCCGATGGCCTCACTCCTGCCCCTGGCCTACACCACTCCCAGCATCCAGCTTGCTGGACCCCTCTGGCTCCTGCCTAGCTATAACTCCCGATTGCTCCTTGTATCATTCTTTTACTGGCTCACCCTGGGAAACGTCTCAGTGGGGCTAGCCTGATCCCTGGCACCCTGCATGGGACTCAGAAGGTCAGGAACGTTGTCTCCCCCATCTAGTGGAGCAAACACACAGTCCCAGCATTCTACTGGAACCCTCCATGGACCTCCGGGCACGCCGGACTCCAGGGAGCCAGGTAGGGTGTGCAGGCTGAAGGAAGGACAGCCAGCCAGTGGCTTCCTCCTTTATCCCACCACCGGCCACTCCTCCCCGACACCCTTCTGCCACTTTCAGATACCAGCCCCTTTCAAATACCTGCAATCCGTAGCCTAAAGCAGCGATGGAGAACCTTTTGAGCTCGGCGTGTCAGCATTTTGAAAAACCCTAACTTAACTCTGGTGCCCTG